AGGTGACACGGCGCATGCGGGGTGTTGTTTTGAGGTGGGTGTTGGTGCGGTCGTGGCGGTCACGGTGCATGGGTCGTTAGGTAGAGTATATTAGAGGCCACGGGGGTATATTACATGGGGGGTGCACGCCTGATGCGTTTGCTGGTCGTCTGCTGATCTGCTCCCACATATATTGCACCTTGCGCTTTCTTGGAGCATCGCCCTCCATATCCTGCTGTTTTTGCCGCCGCTGCTCTTCTCCCCTCTCCACGCATTTATCCCTCTCGCCCTCCTCGGGGCGAGAGGGCCCCAAGCGGCGGCCCCGCGACCCCGCGGCAGCAGGGGCTGCCGCGCGCGAGAGGCGGGCCGCGCGAGAGGGCCGCCATGACCCTAGCAGTGAGTGTGGCGCACGCGCTCCGTACGCTGAAGGTCTGCGTTGGCCCCCCTTACCCGTGTTCTCCCACCTCCCCTTCCTCAACTCCTCCTCCTCCCTCGTCCTCCCCCGTTCCCCCTCAGATCATAGCTCCATCTCCACCTATTCCCTCCCCCTCCTCATCCTCTCCTCCTCCGCCTCCCCTTCCCTCGCCCTCCCCCTGCTCGGTCCCCCCCTGCTCCTCCTTCTATAGCTTCCCCTGCCCTCTAGAAAACAACGCACCAAGGCAATGACAACGAACCTAATGAATATGGGGGGGTGCCGTCATTGTCTCGGGGCGTTGTTTTCGCGCCCAGGTGGCTGATGATTTCACGTTGTGCGCCTGGAACCCTTCAAAGGGTTCCAGGCGCACAAGAGGGTTGGCAAAGTACATCAACGACACGAACTGGTGGTGCTGCTTGCTGCACCTTGGCCGGGCGTCGAACGGAGCGATGAAGTTCGAGAGAGACGATCTCGAGAGCGGCGTGCAAGAGGCGATAGGGGAGGAGAGGAGGAGAGGGGCAGGAGGGACTAGGGCGACGAAGAGGAAGCGGAGAGGAGAGGAGAGGAGCAGGAGCAGGATGGACTAGGACGACGCAGAGGAGGCGGAGCAGGAGCAGGAGCAGCAGCACGGGCGGAGAGGAGAGGAGAGGCTATATATGAGGGGAGGAGAGGAGGAGAGGAGCAGGATCAGGGGGCGTATAATAGGAGCGAGAGGGGAGGAGAGGAGCAGGAGGGACTAGGACGATCGAGGAGCGAGAGGGTTCGAGGAGATAGGAGGGAGGAGAGGACCAGGAGGATTAGAGGGGAGAAGCAGGAGGACCGAGAGGGTTCGCGGAAAAGGAGAAGGAGGAGCAGAAACAGCAGGATAGGCGGAGGACTGGACACGCTCCGAGGTGATCAGAACGGCATCCCTGAGCAAAATCTGCGCCGAGGCGCAGAAAATAGAGACGCTCCTGGCTGGGTGGAGGCGCATCCTAAGGACCCACGGGAATCAACCCATAATGTCCTCCTCATGTCCCTTTGCTTGTCCTAGCTCCTCCTCCTTCTCCTCGTCAACCTCCGATCCTCCTCCTCCTCCGCCTTCTCCTCCACCTCCTTATAGGTTCCTATCCTTCTCCTACTCGGTCTGGCGTCAGGTCCCATCCTTCTTCCTCCGCTCTTCCTGCTTCACTTCATGTTTGCTTATCCTCCTCCCATTCGTCTCCTCGATTCTCCACTATCCTCCTAATAGTACCTCCGTGTTCCTCCGGCTCACCCTCCTGCTCTTACTGCTAACTGATCCCCCGCGCCACCCATCTCTACCTAGCGTATCATCCTTCCACGGTTTGGCTCCTCCCCCTCCTCCTCCTACTCCTCCTCCTTCTCCTCCTACTCCTAGCGCTCCGCCTCCTCCTTCAGCTCCTCCCATGTGCCCCTGCTCCTACTCATCACCCACAGTTTCCTCCTCCTCGCTCTCCTCCTGACCCCCCCCCCTAATCCTGTAAATTTCTACTCATCGCCCCAGTGGGAACAACTACTGGATCCCAGAGAGCCTGCAGAAGAAGATGAGCAAGCCCTACAGCAAGGAGCTAGTGGCAGAGCAGGCGCCTGCCCCTCGCTGCCCCTCGCTGCGCCCTCTTCTGCTGTTCTGATCCTCCTCCTCCCAGCTTATCCTCCTCCTCCCGCCCCCTCCTCTGCCTATCCTGCTCCCCCCTCCTAGCTTCCCCCGAGTTCTCCTCCTCTCCATCGTATCCTTCTGATCCTCCTGCTGCTGCTCCTGCTCTTCCTCCTCCTCCTCTCCCTGCCTTCCTCCTCCTCCTCCTCCGCTATTCCTACGGTCCTCCTCCTCCTCCTCCTCCTCCTAGCTCATCCTGCCCCCCCTCCTGCTCTGGCTTCCTTTTTTTGTTTTTTTCTCCGCCAGCCAGGCTGCGCCGGACAACTTCGCAGCGAAGGCCAGGGGCATGTTCCTCCAGTCAGACGACGAAGACGACTCGCTTCTCTCGGCATCAGACGAAGACAGCCTCGCAGGCCCGCGGTCGATTCCAAGCGCCCTCAGGTGTGTCGCGTTTCGGCGAGGCCGGGGAACTTTAGATCGGGGGGTCGCATTCGATCTCTAGAAATGACCGTCTGCGATCCCCCAGGTCTGAAGTTCCACGGCCTCGCCGAGACGTCATATTCTCCTGCTGGCACCGGGCGGAATCGGCCTCGATCAGGCAAGCCAGCTGGCCCCGCCCCCCCGATCAGCGACAAGGCCACCCCGATCAGCGACAAGCAGGCCCAGGACGACGACAACATCAGCAACGACGACGACAGCAGCGACAAGGCCGATGATGACAGAGAGATCAACATACTAGAGGAAGGCCCACAGCAGTTCAAGACGGTCAACGATAGCACGTGGGTCGTAAGGCAATCCGACCAGACTATGGCAACATATTGCGTGAGAGGCAAGCAGACAGGCAATGGAAAATTCTGCTGGAGCGACGGCGACACATACTACAGCAGCATCGACTACGAGAGCGCGGTCTCCCCGGCGCAGAGGGCGAAGGCGCGGGCCCGAACCTTTTGGGGGGCCCCAGAAACCGATCGGGAAATCCGCGAGGCATCGTCTTGGGCTCATCTCGGGGCCGTCCTGGCCGCATGGCCTTCAAGGGCCTTCGATCTAGCTTGAGGGGCGGCGGGGTCCTTTCCGAAGGTTTGTTTTTTTGTTGTTTGATGTTTTTTTTTCTCTTCCCTCTCTCTCACTCTCTGTCTCTCCCCTGTCTATCGCCCTCTTGCCCCTTCTCGCTCCTCTTCGTTCTCCCCCTTATCGCGCTCGCTCCATCTTCGTATCGCCCTCTCTCCCCCCTTCGCTTTGTCACCTGTCCCGTTTGCCAGCTTCCCCCCCCCTTTCTTTCGAATTTCGATCTCCCTGATGCCTTCCTCCCGATGAGTTCGCAGTCATATTCTTTTATTTGTTTTTCTTTCTCTCTCTCTCTCTCTCTGTCTCTTTCGCTCTTCCTCTCTTCCTCGCTCCTCCTCCTCCTCCTCGCCCCCTCTCTCCTACTCGCTCTTTCTCTCCCTCTCTCTCTCTCTCTCTCTCTCTCTCTCTCTCTCTCTCTCTCCCTCTCACCTCCTCTGCTCTATCTCGATGCCTATATCAGCCTCTCTCTCTCTCTCTCTCTCTCTCTCTCTCTCTCTCTCTCTCTCCTCTCTCTCTCTCTCTCTCTCTCTATATATATATACATATATATGTATTCACCCTCTCTCCTTCTCTCTCTCTCCTCTCTCCCTCTCTCTCTCTCTCTCTCTCTCTCTCTCTCTCTCTCTCTATCTTCTCTACTCTCTCTCTCTCTCTCTCTCTCTCTCCTCTTCTCTCTCTCTCTCTCTCTCTCTATATATATAGATGTTCCTCCGGGCCCGCTCAGCCTTCGCGCGCCCGCCGTGGCCCTTGCGTGCGCCGAGCGCGCCTCTCCCTGCGTTTTTTTTTTTTTTTTTTTTTTTTTTTTTTTTTTTTTTTTTTTTTTTTTTTTTTTTTTTTTTTTTTTTTTTTTTTTTTTTTTTTTTTCATATTTCTTCTCTTCGCTCCACCTCTCCTCTCCTACTTCTCTCGGTCTCAATCTCTCAAGATCTGTGCTCTCTGTTCCTCTGGCCCGAGAGGCCGAGAAGCTCGAGCAGGCCAAGGCCAAGAAGGCCATCGACGCCGCGCAGGCCGAGGGGGCCAGGGAGACCGCGCAGCAGCAGGACGCCGAGGGCCAGGATCCGCAGAAGACAGCCAGCATCGCGCAGGGCAAGCGAAAGTGCAGCAAGCCAGTCGAGAGCGTGGAACCAGCGAAGAAAGGAAGGATCGACTCCACCGCAGCAGCCGAGGGCGAGCAGATGGGAGAGCAGAAGAAGGGCAGCGGCAAAGGCAAGCATCACAAGAAGAAGATCCATCAAGGTGCCATCGCCAGCGCCGCCGCGCCACAGGAGACCGCGCTGGGCGACGAGGAAGAGGCAGCGAGGGGGAGGCGGAGCAGCGGCCGAAGGCGACGCCCGCGGGCGCCCGCAAGGATGGGGATAGCAAGCCGAAGGCAGGAAAGGGCAGGCCAAAGGCCAAGGGCAAGGCAAAGGCAAAGCCACCTGAGAGGAAAGACGATGATGACGAGGACAAATACGAGCACCTTGCCACGCCGCCGCCAGCCAAGAAGGCGAGGGCCACCGCAGAGAGCGCAGACAAGATGGCCGACACTGACAAGACAAGCATCACCCCCCTCCAAGAGTGCCACGCGCGGGTTGCACGTGCCAGGCCCGATTGCAAGGTGCTCGAGGACGCGAACGGCATGGTCTGGAAGGTGGCTCATCAACGATTACCGCTGCTCTGCTCTATTCGTTTCCAGCCTACTCCTATTCTATTCGGTTTCCAGTCTACTCTATTCTAGTATATCATGTTCTACTCTACTCTAATCCTATTTTCAGTTTCAAGTCTACTGTGCTCTACTGGAAGGTGGGCGTCTCGCCGCGCCCGAAGCTGAACTACGGCTGGGAAGTCTTCGTGAGGATCGACCTGTCATCGATCAGGGCTCCTGCGTAGCCCGACGCCCTGAATGCTGCAGGGCGTCGGCCCACGCGGGCGCGCAGAACGATTATAGGCCCCCCTGGGACTGCGCAGGAACACCACGGGCCAGAAGTGGTCCATCCTTTCGACTAGCAAGCAGCTGCCTGGCGACGGCTCGCTCACGACGGTGATAAGCTATGCGGCGGGCAAGCTGGTAGAGCTCATGAAGGAGGCCAACGTGTACGACGCGCAGAAGGACGGCATCCAGAGCAAGCTCCCCGACTGGGAGGACGCCAAGGCCACGGGCAGCGGCTCCGAGGGGAAGGGCGGCGACGGCGACGGCGGCGCAGGCCGGTGGAACGAAGCCGAGACCGTGCCAGAGTCAGCGGCGCCAGCGGCGCCAGCAGAGGCACCCGACGAAGGCATCTCAGCAGCAGTGCCAGCAGAACCAGCGCAGGCATCCGACGGAGGCAGCTACGTTGCACCAGCAGCATCGCCAGCGGAGAACGCCGGCCAGAAGCCAGCCAGCCGACTCCAGAGGCAGGGGTCGCGCTTCTTCGACAGCGAGCTCGGCCAGGGCGAAGACGAGAAGATGTCGAGAGACGAAGACACGGTCGGCGACGACGACACGGTCCCTGGCGACCCCGGCGACCCCGTGCTGGTCGACAGCGACGTCGGCGAACCAGACCAGGGCGACGCGGTCGGCGCCAGCTGAGCGGTGAGCTAGGCCAGCCCCTCCTATCTCCACCTCCTCACACCCTTTCCACCTGCTTCCACCTCCACCTCAACCTCCCCCTAGATCCTCACCTACGTGAACATCCGCCTTCTCCTCGTCCTATCCTCTGTTCCTGCTTCCTGCCCGCCCTCGCTCGCGCAGCTGGTCGCGCTGCGCTATTCTAGTTGTGTTTCTTATCCTCCCTGCTCTGGGGGGCCCTGCGATCGAGGCCTTCGCCCCCCTCGCTCTGGCCATCCTGGAGATGGCCATTCAGAGCGGGGCGGGGCGAAGCCCTCGGGAGAGGGGGCGCCTCGGAGCCAAGAGAGGGAGGAACTATAAGAATGGCGGCAATGGGGCGAGGGGCAGGGCAGCAGGGGGAGGAGCAGGAGGAGAAGCTAAGGAGGACGAAAGATGAGGAGAAGCAGCAGGACAAGAGGATGTCTCATTGTCGCCCATCCGCGTCGATCTGAGCGCCTGCGTGCAGCCACAAACGAAGGGCCTTGAGGAGCGCGGCGGGGGCATGCCCCGCAGCGGGCAATGGCGCCTGCCGGGGGCACGGCAGGCCGCGTCGCGAAGGGCTTGAGGTTCCAGCGCGGCGGGGGCATGCCCCGCATATACCCCCCCCCCCCCCGTCCCCCCCGGACACGACACCACCCAACACACACACACACACACACGCAGGAACAAACAAAACAATCAACAACATAAGACAATGGAGCCATCTCAAGGACCTCGACGGCGCGCCCATTTTCACGCAGGGTTAGGGCGCCAACGGCCGTTCGATGAGGTGGGCCGCTCGCCCCGAAGCGGACGTCCTGCCATCGTTCGCCGCTCCGCCTTCTGGGATCATCCCCCCCTGGTCCTCCTGTTGCTCCTCCTGCTGCTGCTGCTCCTCCTGCTCTTCCTCAGTCCCCTCTGTGCTGCCTCCTCCTCCAGATACCCTCCTCATTAATCCGCCCTGGCCCCAAATCCGCTTATCCTCTTCTTTCTGCTTCTCTTCCTACTCCTCCTCCTCTAATTAGTTATTTCTCCTCCTCCTCCTCCTATCCTCGCCCTTCTTGCCCGAC